GGGCGACCGATTTGCTCCGCATCACGATGTGACGTCACAAAACGACACGTCGATGCCACCAGTAGTCTTTATTGTTATATTTTTCTTATTCTCTCCATATTTATTACTCCATATTTTTCTTGTAATGTTATTTATTTATCAGTAATCTTTATTTTCTGTTTTTTTTTTTTTAATTTCTGTTATATCACGCTCCTTGGGAATAAAATGGTGGAATAAAAAAGGTTTTACAAAAATTTTTTTACTTCGCAAATATCCGCGTTATAAAATAAAATGATGTGTCTTACCTAGTATGAAGAAGCACCTCCCGCCCTCCCTCAATTGCGTGCACTATCCCCGTCACCACTAATCCCAGCACCGCTACTTCCAACACCACTACACTAGGCAAGACACACCACTGACGATAATACGACACGTGTTTCGCCTCTACACGAGGCATCCTCAGGTGATATAGACTCTACAGTGGCTAACCGCTAAGTCTTAGCTTTTATTTATTTTATAACGCGGATATTTGCGAAGTAAATTTTTGTAAAAGCTTTTATATAATGGATTTCCGCAAAGTAACGCCTGATTCTATTAATTATATAAAATGGTGGCCTAAGATACAGGTTTTACCTAGTTTAGGCACCAGTTTTTCACCTAACAATAGTATTGTATTAGATGTAAGCACATATTTTTTGATTTCTGAATTTATTTCGTTGGTGAAAATAAATAAATAAATAAAATAAAATAAAAATAAATTTAAAATTACTGCAAAAAAATCATATAAAAGCTAAATGTTCATTACTTTAGTTTATACATCAAATCAAATATTTATTTGTGATTCACAGTTTACATAAAGGTCTTAAACACAATAGTATATATTAAACACAAATAAAGTTCAGTCTGTGATCAGCCTCATGGGCATCATCATCATCATCATCATCATTACAGTGCTTCATAAGTCCGCTGCTGAACATAGGCCTCCCCCAAGAAATGCCACAAAGTACGGTCCTGAGCCACCTGCATCCATCGACTTCCTGCATGTTTTACCAGGTCGTCACTCCATCTCGTGGGGGGTCGCCCTACACTTCGCCTACCGGTACGGGGCTGCCACTCGAGAACCTTTCTTCCCCATTGGTTGTCAGTTCTTCAAGCTATATGGCCGACCCACTGCCACTTCAGCTTACTAATCCGTTGGGCTATGTCGGTTACTCTGATTCTACTGCGAATATCCTTATTTCTAAGTTTATCACGCAGAGAAACCCTGAGCATAGCCCTCTCCATAGCTCGCTGAGCGACCTTGAGCTTCCTCACACGGCCAGCAGTGAAGGACCACGTCTCAGATCCGTAAGTCATCACTAGCAACACGCACTGGTTGTACGATTTCGTTTTCAGGTTTTGTGGTATGTTTAACGAGAAGATGTGTCGTAGTTTCCCGAACGCTGCCCAGCCGAGTTGAATCCTCATGGGCATACAAATGTCAAATATTATTAATAGTTCATTGATTACATTATTCATAATAATAGATTGGATTATTAGATTAAATTATTCATCATAAATAATATTGATTACATTGGATTAGATTAGATTATTCATAAATTATTAGTTCAAAATTATTATATAGTCGTTTGGTTTATCATAAGTATTGTGTCATCTAATATAGTCAACCGGACATTAACTCTGACATTCGATATAATATATTGTTACGAGCTTGGGGTTCGAGACAATTAAAAACTGCCGATTGAATTACCAAAATTGACACTTTAATTACAAAACACTAATTACAATCTAAAATCACACTAATAATAAAATACAGTTCGCCGTTATTTCACTTCGAAGTATTCTCTTGTATCGCCAATTCAATACTGCCCCGGTCGTGGTCTATACCGGCCTTATATAGGGCCTCTGATAGTTTCCAGAACCTTCTACTGTAGCGACATCTAAAATGTACGAGTACATATCGGCCCCGAAATTTCTGGAAGGATCTCGACTCTCCTAGTTCTGCTACTCGACACTAGAGGGCGCTAGTGTAACTAGTGTTGCCATGTACAAGACATTAATAGTGGCGCGCAACAATATTATAGGTAAATGACCGTATACTTCCGAGCGCGCGGTTAGTACTGAACTTAGCAAGTTCCTGTTCCTACTGCACGTTCGCTCTCTCGGATTGTGACGTCAATTCACAGAGAACGAGCGGGTAAAAATTAAAAAATATTGCGAAACTTCAAAACGTTATAACTTTCGTATTTCTGGACCAATTTGGATGAAACAAAAACTATTGTTATTTTCATAAACATAGCTTTAAAGCTATATAGGCTTTATTGTCAAATTAGAACATGTTGGCGTGACCCATTCTACAAATATGTTCATATAGAATAGGGTGACAAACAAGCACACAGTCCACCTGAGTGCTGTGGCCCATAGAAATCTACATTTATCCTGAATTAAAAATCAAAATGCAGATGCGTTGTCACCCCTGAGAACTAAGATAGAAAGCCTCGTTTCCAGTAAAAAGTGTCTCCGGTTGGTAGAGCCACGCGGCAGCTTTTGCTGTCGCACGGATGGGCCGGCTCAAACCGGGGTAGTACCACGACCTCACAGAAAACCAGCGTGAAGTAGAGGTTTACCTCTGCGTTTCGCTTGGTGAGTGCAGGTGGCCGGAGGCCCTTTTTACTGGAAATGAGGCATTCCATCTTAGTCCTCACGGGTGACAACGCATCTACATTTTTTAGATGTAGATGTCTATGGGCCGCAGCAACCACTTACCATCAGGTGGACTGTGTGCTCGTTTGTCACCCTTATCATATAAAAAAAAAAAAAAAAAAAAATACGCTCAAAAAAAGAAAGGATGTCCGCAGGGTGGGGTATTTCAACTTTCCTGTGGAATATGGTCATTAATGAACTCATCAGCAAATTAAATGCCAATCACTACTACACAGTAGGTTATGCAAATGACCTGATAATATTGGTCTCTGGAAAGACAGCAAGCATGGTGTGCGACCTGACCCAAGCGGCTGTCCGTACAGTGGAGAGATGGTGCAGGGATTATGACTAAACCGTTAACCAAAATAAAATGGTTCCAGTAATGTTCACACAAAAACGAATGCTGAATAACCATCACCTACAAGTCTCTTCCGCACAAAACTTCAGCTATCCTCTGAGGTAAAATAGTTTAGTTCAGTTTAGTTTCCAAGGTCTTACCTTGGAAACTAAACTGAACTGAAATAAACACATAGAAAACAAAATCACCAAGGCTATTATAACTTTTTGGCAATGCAAAAACATGATTGGTAAACGATGGGGTTTGACGCCAAAGATTATACTGTGGCTATACAAAATCGTGATTCGGCCCATAATCACACACGTACGTTGCTCTTGTATGATGAACTAAAACAAATGAAGCTACCACAATTAAAAAGCTGCAGCGTTACTAGAGATTGGCATGTATGGCTACCATGGGCTACATAAGACACATACACCAACAGCAGCCTTAGAAGCTATGCTGGTGCTAACCCCGCTTCACCTACACATACAACAAGAAGTGACTTTAGCTGCCATCAGACTGAAGACCCAAAATCTATGAAATCTGATTGAGTCCCCCATACAGGTATAATTGACAGAATTCAATACCAGACCACATGCCACATGGAACTTAGAGTTCTTTTAAATGCGTATAAAGAGTGTTGAAAAGAGGTTATATCCTTATAAGAGTGGTTTATGAGTTATTATACAGCTCAAGCTGTATAAAGTTTGTATTATGGGATCTAAGTAAGCTTAGGGTTCTTAATCAGAATATGAAACCTCTAGTATACAACTTTAAGTATTTTGTAACACTTCAATATGATTTTATCTGTATAGAAGCTGTTTGTTTTTTTGCATGCTGTCCCTTGCTTATACAACTCTAAGTGTTATTATGGTATCACTATAATCTTATTTCTGAACAATGGTGTATGCAAACTCTCTTCTAAAACTTTTTCTTATTATGTCATTGTACTCTTTTGTAAATACAGTAGTTTTATGACTTCTGTCTATGAGAGTGATATAAAACTAAAAAAATAAATAACAGCCATAGTACAACTTAAATCTGTATAAGTGACAGAATATCGCCATTTTGCATGCGCTGCGTGTTTATATTGTGTTAGTGAACATAATTAATTTGTTATCAATATATGGCAAAAAAGAAAAAGATTTGGCGCAGTAAAAAGACCATGTTAAATCAAAATAAATTTATCGAACATAATTTCCAAGACAATATTTTTTATCTTTTATACGTATATCTAAAGAGAGTTATATGTTATGTTAAAAAACCCTCCTATACAGCGTAAGTAATAAAATATCCTATTATAGAACTGATTAAAGACCAATAGCTGCATGATATAATCTATAACATACATAGTACAGCTACTAAGACTATAAGATCCTCGAAATAGCGTTTATATGTAGGCTGTTTAGCAAATTGTCGCCATTTCAAGACCCATAAAAATAAAATTAAAAATATAAATTTAGGAATATTAGACATTAGTCTTAGCTTATATAAATGTTTGAGATTCACCAGTAAAAGTAGTGCGATTTTGTGTATTAAATGTCTGCGCATGTGAACTCTTAGTGGAAACGGTGAAGCAAGTGCTTTGATGGTGATGTAATTCTCAAGATAAGGTGTCAGTCTGCTTAGGCGCCTTGAGATACCATCGCTAACTGTCAGCTATCTGCTAGCTCAAGTTGCTGTCAAAATCTCCCAAGGGCTGCACAATGTGACGCATGAGCATATTGTAAAGCAGTGTACTATGAAGGATAATTATACTTTATAACTTCAGGCTCAGAAGGTCTAGAACCCAGAGCCGTAAAGCCAGTTATAAAAAAAAGCTGTCAAGCTGCCACCAAGTGCTGTCAAGTCTGTCAAGTGTCAAGCGCTGTCAACAAATTATACGAAGAGAATCGTCAAACCGTGACTTTCAATTTTGAAATATTTAGGAGCTAGTGTTTGTTTTCACGTTATAAGTAATATTCTAAAGAAAACTACAATGCCTAAAGTTTCAGGTAAATTTTGATATGATCTTCATTATGCGAAGTTACATATTATTGCATTATTTTTAAGGTTATAAAAAGAACGAATATCTAGAATATCTGGTTTTTGACATATTTTTATTATTTTATTGTAATTTATTGCTAAATGACCGCAAAAAATACTGTTAGTTTGTTCCATCAATGTTAGGATGTAGATTTATTAACATAGAAAGTAAAAAAGACCACAATCTCCCAGACCGGCATTGTTTCTCAATTTACTATTTTGTTTGACTTATACCTTGGCAAAACAAAATAAAAAAATATAATTACACTGTAATGTTACTGTGACAATTTAATGGTTAGTTGACTTTATTGAAAATATATTTAAGTGCCTACTCATACTTTTTAGACCTTTACCTAAATTATTAGACTATAGTATTCAAAAAATAACAACCGATATTTTTTATTTAATTTATAATAAGCAATACTTTAAGAAAAAGGTTAGGACAGCATTTAAATTAATTAAACACTATCTTCTTATTTTACTCATTTTTTACGTCAAAATTTAAAATGGTGAACGCCATGTCTATATTTTGGTTCTACATCTATGTAAAATTATCTCAGAGGAAAACATTAATTTGTGTCAGATTTAGGACATGCTGTGATATAATTACTAGTCTGTTCTGCTAATTTTAGCACATATCACTAAAAGTAAAAACAATAACTTAAATAATTATAAAGAACATATTTAACACAGAAAATGTTTACCTCTAGTAGTCACTATCCATGAGAAGCAAAATTACAAATAGAATCATTGTCATATAATAATATAGATAGATAACACTTTATTGTACGCCAAAAAATAACATAATTATTAACAAAAAATGAGAAAAGAAATGTGTACAATGGGTGGTCTTATTGCTAAGAGTGATCTCTTCCAGACAACCTTTGGATGGACAGGATTGCAAGAAAACAATAAAAGCGTGTGTGGTTTGGCGACAAAAATAACATTATTTTTATTAAAGCTATAAAGTAGAAATATAGAATGGTATATAAGTACATAGATAAGATAAATACATACATATTTATTAATATATGTGTATATACATACATATAATTATATAGGTATTTTTATAAATATATAAAAGTACAAATATATACTTTAAAACTATTACAATAACATAAATGTGCCATACATATAAACAAATATTGTAACTAAATAAAGGTAGAATAATTATATATGAGACCCTTTTTACTGGAAAAGAGGCATTCCATCTTAGTCCTCACGGGTGACAACACATCTGCATTTTGAGTCTTTATTGGGGATAGATGTAGATATCTATTGGTCACAGTAACCACTTACCATCAGGTGGACTGTGTGCCTGTTTGTCACCCAATCTTATAAAAAAAAATACAAATGAACTAGATAGAATCAAAGTTGAAAGAAATAATCATGTACATGTTTCTTAAAAACCGGTCCCTACCATGCGTCTTGCTGATAACGGCAAGTCAATCCATAATCGGACACCTTGTATTGTGAATGATCTGTCCAAAAATTTGGTAGTGTGAGCTGGCATTTAGTATTTACATATAACTTTATTATATACAATAATCCATTTACTGTACATTACAAAATTAACTTTTCATATGTATAATAACTACATACACTTTCAAACTGAAAAAGAAAAATCTATTCTTTCTGAAGAATGTCTCAGTGGTGGCTTTCCATGGATGGTTGTCCAGGTATTTAATGTCAGAGGTGCCACAGTTAATTTAAAATCCTGGGGTTTTGAGTATGAGAAGGCCTGACAACAATACCTGGTATCCTGGAAACAAGGATAGATGTAGATGTCTATGGGCAGCAGCAACCACTTACCATCAGGTGGACTGTGTGCTCACTTGTCACCCTTATCCTATAAGAAAAAACTGATATTACCTTCAGATGCATTAGATCACTAAACAGTTGGTATTGTAGTCAGGCGCTGGCTTATTAAGTAAAGGGTGAGGGTTAGGGAAAAATAGCCTCACCAAAGGCACCTGGATGGCTAAGGCTTGCTGTGATTATACTTATTATAATGATGACATTTTTGAATTCAGCATGCTTTCATTTCCCTCTTGTTCCATTTTTCTATTTATCCTGTAATGTATAATAGACTATGTTTATTTTATGTATACAGTAAAGGTAAAATGGGGTAAGGAGATGTTCCCAGGAGTGGAAGTGAACACAGAGGATGACCCAGTGGTATTTAAGGCTCAAATCTTTGCACTGACTGGTGTTCAACCAGATAGGCAAAAAGTGGTCTGTAAAGGTGTCACATTAAGAGACGATTCATGGGGAAACTTTAAATTGACTGATGTAAGTATTTCAATTTATGCTTCTACTGATATTTATTAACATAATAAAAAAAAAATTTTTTAGTGATAAACACTTACTATCTTTTTTCTTTTCTAAGTGTTTTCATTTTAGTAAAATTGAATTGTCAAACAAATAAACAGTTCATAGACACCTGTAGCCAACTTTAAAAGAAGAAAGCTACAAATTATATTGTCACTTCTGAGGACTAAGACTGAATACCCCGCAGACTGTACATAATTATTGTGGTATTCTATACCCACATTTCAGATTCCACATTCAGATAAGAATATAGTGCTATTACCACGTATAGCACGAGCCTTGCTGCAGCTATATTAATAGCATAGTTGTAGCAAGAATGGGTCGGCTCGACTGGGGAATGGCCACGCTCTCACAGAATACCAGTGTAAAATAGCAGCTTAATGCTGCTGTGTTTCGTATGGTGAGTGTAGAGAACCGGATGCCCTTTTTACTGGAAAAGACGCATTCTGTCTTAGTCCTCATGGCTCACAACGCATTTGTATTTTAATTTGCAAACAAAGATAGATGTAGATGTCTATGGGCCACAGCAACCACTTACCATCAGGTGGGCTGTGTGCTCGTTTGTCACCCTTATTTTATAAAAAAAAGTTGTACTCATACATGCAATGCAGTGTTGCTTGGCAGCAGAAATAGGAAAGATTCACCCTCTTGCTTACCCAGACAGGCTCTTAGCCCAAAAATGAGTCCCATTACTTAGTTAAAGATAGTTTAAACAAATTTGAGAATAAATAATTATTTCTTACGTGGTAGAGCCATGCTGCAGCTATATTATGGTTGTAGCACAAATGGGTCGGCTCGACCAGGGAAGGAACACACTCTCACAGAATACCAGCGTAAAATAGCAGCTTAACGCTGCTGTGTTTCATTTGGTGAGTGTAGAGAACTGGAGACCCTTTTACTGGAAATGAGACATTCCATCTTAGTCCTCACGGGTGACAACGCATCTGCATTTTGATTCTCAATCAAAGATAGATGTAGATGTCTATGGGCCACAACAACCACTTGCCATCAGGTGGACTGTGTGCTCATTTGTCACCCTTATCCTATATAAAAAATAAAAAATAAAGTGAAAACAGTATTGATAATATAACATTTTCAGAATGCATTGGTGCTTGTGATGGGTAGCAAAGAAGAAGATGTGCCTGCAGCTCCCATCGAGCAGACTCGTTTTGTAGAAGATATGAATGAATCGGAGCTTGCAACTGCTGTAAGTTCTTTGCCTATGCTCTACAAAACATTTTTTTCTAAATCTATAGTGTTTCATTTAGCAAATAGTTTGTAGACGAAAGCCGTGGTAGCTCAGATGGTTAGCGCTCTCTGTAAATTTCACAGTACGCGAGCAACCCGGGTTCAATCCCCGGACACCAATAAAATTGTTAATTGCAATTTAAAGTGCTGATTTTCCACATGCTCGGTGGTGAAGGTAAACATTGTGAGGAAACCTGCATGTTTGAGAAATAATAAAAAAAATATGAAGTTCGCTAACACGCTTTGGGACTGCGTGGCGAACATTTCCTAGCCCTAAAAACTTCTCAGAAATGAGGCGAGGCTTGTCCCCAGCAGTGAGACGTATATAGGCTGTAACTTCTATACTATTAGAGTATTGCATAAACTTAATGGGGAAGAATGACATTAGAAAAAAGAAGGAGCAAAATTCATAATATACGTTAAATTATGGTATTTTGCAGCTGGATCTCCCCGAGGGCCTCATCAATTTGGGTAACACATGTTACATGAATGCCACTGTTCAGTGCCTCAAGACCGTTCCAGAATTGAAAAATGCTCTGCTCAACTATGATAAATGTAAGTAACAGATACACATTAACAATTTAGTCTCTGTGTTGTGATTGTCCCTTCCCTTGGACATTGCATTTTAGTTTATTTTTGATTTTATGGCATAAATATGAACTTTCGACACTAAAAATATGTTGGGGGCTAAGGCTAAGGCTTTGCCCTTTAAAAGTCTACTGCTGATAGGCCTCCCCATAGATTTGCCTTATAAGAGATTATTTTGCTATTGCCCATCTCCTGTTTTTTTATTTTTTATTTTATTTTATATGAGTGGGGGTAAATGAGCATGTGGCTCACCTGATGCTGAGTGACTACCGTCGTTCATGAACGACTACAACTCCAGGGGAATTGCAGATGTGTTGTAGGCCTTTTAAAAAAAGAATACATGAGGTAGTGGATTTTATACTGCCACTAGACAGTACAATGAGTGTTTAAGATTTATCTCTGTTTGTTACACTTGTTTCATTAGCTCATAAGAGTCTAGTGCTGGACATAAGGCTCTTTTAAAGGAGGAGTTTTTGGTAGAAATGGGAACATATTTTTTCAATTTATAAATTATAAATTGAAAAAATAGGGTTATTTGTAAAATAGGAAATTTTCTCCAATTTTTTTTAATTATTATTAGCTAAGTATTGCTTTGATGCAATCCCATCACTACCACTACATCGCACTATTGTAGTATAACTATTCCTATTCTCACTCTTGCTTAGAAGATGCTTATATTGTAGGCGGTTGTAAAGAAAATTATAATATAATTGCTTGGAAAATTTCATCATAAAACTGTTGTGAAAATAAACTGTACTGATTATTAAAAAAACTAATTAAACCACTAAACGCTAACATTGGAGGTATTGTGTTACATAAAAAGTTTTTTTTATAGAATTAGGGTAACAAACAAGCACACAGTCCATGTAATGGTAAGTGGTTGCTGTGACCCATAGATATCTACATTTATCCTCAATAAAGAAACAAAATGCAGATGCGTCGTTACCCATGAGGACTAAGATGGAATGCCTTCTTTTCAGTAAAAAGGGTCTCTGGTTCTCTACACTCACCATATGAAACACAGAAGTGTCAAGCTGCTATTTTACGCTGGTATTCTGTGAGAGCGTGCTCCTTCCCCGTTCGAGCTGACCCATTCGTGTTACAACTATACTACTAATATAGCTGCAGCATGGCTCTACCACGTACAAAGCTTCGGCTTGATTGATAGTTATTTGTAATGTGTGTAGCATCGGGCGGAGGCACGGCCGGGGAGCTGACGGCGGCGCTGAGCGAGACGATGCGCGCGCTGGAGGGCGGCGGCGCGGGCGCGTGCGCGGGCGCGGCGGCGCGGCTGCTGCGCGCGCTGCACGCGGCGGCGCCACGCTTCGCCGAGCGCGGCGCCGCCGGCGGCCTGGCGCAGCAGGACGCCTCCGAGTGCTGGGCCGAGATCGTGCGCGCGCTGCAGACCAGGCTGCCCGTCGCGCCCACGCTGCCCTCTACCGACAGGTGCCCGCATTGTCTTCTCTTTATGTGCAACCGTTAATGTTATGCCCGGGCCACACTAACGAGAAATGCCGTTAATTATCGCGTTGATGGCCGTTGAATGTAGGTGTGGCCACCACTTAACGCGATAATTTTACAACGACATTAACATTGCCGTTTGCCGTTGGGCGATAACTCGAGTGGCGGTACATCAAAGACATTAACGCACGAATTAACGCGTTAAAGCGGCCACACTACGTTTGTCTCATTGTGCACGGTGACCGCAACAGGGTATGGTATGGCTATGGTGGAGTGGAATAATGAAAAAGTCATTACGTTTCTTGAGATTCTGCAAACAGAGCCATTCTTAGGCAATGGGAAAAATAAAATATATTCAATTGAGGTGAAAAAGAGTGAAGAGTGTCTAAATTCAACAATTTTATCACTTAAAAGCTCTCTACAAATTGTATCAAATAATTATGCATCGACTCAAGAAGAGATAAAAGAACACATATTGGTCATGAATGATCTGGTAAAATCATGTAAATATAATGAGGAGCGCTTTGACTCCTTAACAAAAAATCAGAGTGAGTATCAGGGCTCCATACCAGGTTCATCGAGGACAATATGTGTAAATAACAAAGTAAACAGTAAGGACTCATTATTTTCACCTACACTCTATGACAGTGCCATGACAAAGGATATAAACTTAAAAAGCAATGTAAATATTAAAAAATAAATAAAGTTATTATGTATTGTGATGCAAAAATTGGGCATGATGTTAAAAAGGACATCTGATCAGTAATTATTGCATGCCTGGAGCATTCTTTAGTCATATAATGAATAAAGTTTTAGCTAGTAAATTTTGTCCTAATTGTTGGGAGAAGAGGCAATGTAAACAAAAATCAATTATTAAAATATATTGATAATCTAAATACTTTAAATGTACATAAAATTATCTTGTTTACATTGCCTTCCATACAGGGTTGGCCGCAGGAAAATAAAATAAGATATGATTTAAATTTATTAATGAATAACTTTTCATGTAATAATAATCTAAACTTGACATTTAATTGTTACAATTATAATAATAGAATTAATTTAATAGATATAAATAATTTAATTAAGAATTTTTTTACTAGAGATAGGTATTACCTATCTAAATATAATTTAAGACAGTAAGCAAATGTGCTATCCTATTGTTTATATATTAACTCAGCCAAGGAATTGGCTACACAGACATCTGCTTCTTGTGAGCAGTATAATGACTTAATATGCAATTTGGAATCAGTTCCAAGTAATTTAAATTAGAAAATGAGACAATAGAGGTAATCTCTAGCAGTTATAATAATTTAAATAATTTAGAATGTGGCTTACAAATATTTAATTGTATGACTCCACAGAAAGATAATGAAAATTGTTTACACCTGGTGCATCAAAATATACAAGGCATGATAGGCAAAGAGCTAGAAATTGAGTTGTTCTTAAATAGCAACAATATTCATATTTTATGTATTACTGAACATTGGTTAAAAGCTTAACTTAATGTTTAACTTCAGTAATCACCAGGTGGTCAGTTCTTTCAATAGAGATACGGTTTTAAGAGGTGGCTCCTTAATATTAGCTAGTAAACTATTATCGTGTAAAGAACGTAAAGATATTGTGAGCCTCTCTGTTGACCGAACTGTAGAAATGGCATGTGTTGAGTTTGAGCACCTCATTGTTGTGAGCGTCTACAGACCCCCATGTTCTACATATGATACTTTTGAAAAAATTATGGAGGAAGTTTTTGCTAAGCTTAATAAACAGAATAAATCTGTTGTAATATGTGGAGACTTTAATATCAATCTCCTAGAAGCTTCCTCCATCAATATTAAATTTAGATCATTGTTTAAATCACATGGTCTTGTTAATTTATTTATAGAGCCAACGCGTATTGCTCAATCTAGTGCAACATGTATAGATAACATTTTTACAAATGTGAAGCCGTTGCATAAATGTATAATTCAAAAATTAAGTTCTGATGATTGTGGACAAGTAGTTTCGTTACCTTATGTTCACAAAAAGCAACTAGATGATAAAGTTGTGTTTGTTCCAGTAAATGCACGTCGCTTGGAGAAATTTAGTAGTAACATAGTGAAAAACTTCCATCACTTTCATACCAAAATGATCCTAATTTTTTGTATGGAACATTATTTAAGCTTATTTGAAATGAATTTAATAATACTTTTACTTCTAAAACATTCTCCTTGAACAGTCTGAAGTCATTCAATGAATGGGCGACAGTAGGAGTCCATAAGAGCAGGCATAGGTTATATGATCTTTACCATGAAAGGTCATATAATCATAGCATCGAATTTAGGGAATATGTAAAAAAATATTCAAAAATATTTAAAAGAGTTTGCTCCACAGTCAAGTCTTTGCATTTGAGCAACAAAATTAAGACGGCTTCTATTAAAATTAAAATGACATGGAGTATAATTAATAGCGAAACTGGTAAGATCAACTCTCGCAATTCAAATTACCAGTTAAGTGTTAACAACAAATGAACTCTATCAGATCAGGACGTAGCAATGGTTTTTGAGAAATATTTTCCTGATATTCCGATATTGACCACAGTCACTGAATTCTTCTCCTGCCGTCGCCGAATCATTACTTAAACAAAATGTAAATGCGTGTACAAAGAATTTTACATTTCATAAAGTATCATCAAAAGATATTGTAAAATATTTTAAAACTATTGATGTTAAGAAAACTGCGGATCTGTGGGGGATTTCCGTTAAAGTTATTGCGTCTATAATAGATACAATCGCGCCTCTTTTAGCTATTATTTTTAATACTAGTATCGAACCTGGTGTGTTTTCTGATTTAATGAAGCATAGTAAAGTAATATCTTTATTTTACATAGGCTGCACTAAAAGTATCGGGAATGGAATATTTCCACTGTTCCTGTTATATTAAAATCTTTTTAATTGAAAAGTCCTTGGTTTTAAAAATAGAATACCATTTATTTATTTAAAAAAAGGATTCTCGGTCTTGTCACAAGGTTTTGTCAAACTTGTTTAGTCGTTGAGAAAATGGAATTGACTCGAGAAAATTCAAGACCGATGATTTATTATGACTTTCGAAGTGGTTTAACACAAAAACAGTGTGTTGACCGGATAATTTCTGCATTTGGTGATGAAGCCCCATCCAAAACCACAATTTATCGCTGGTTTGCTGAATTTCAACGTGGACGTGTCAAGCTCAGTGATGATCCCCGTCAAGGTCGTCCAAAAACTGCAGTCACCCAAGAAAACGTTGATGCTGTGCGTAAGCTGATTGAGGAAGATCGACATGTGACATACCGCGAAATTCAGGCAACTTTAGACATTGGCATGAGTCAAATACAAATAATCTTGCATGAACAATTAGGTGTAAAAAAGTTGTTTTCCCGATGGATACCGCATTCGCTCTGTGAAGAGCAAAAAGCGGCTCGCGTTTTACTTGGTGCGTCAGAACTCTCGAAAGATTCCACGCAGGATCCTCAAATGCTGTATACAACATCGTATCAGGTGACGAATCCTGGATATACGCGTACGAACCCGAAACAAAAAAACAGTCACGAGTTTGGGTGTTCGAAAATGAGTTAAAGCCAACAAAAATAGTTCGTTCACGGAGTGTTGCAAAAAAAAAGGTGGCCACGTTTGTCTCCAAAACCGGCCATGTTACGACTATTCCTCTTGAGGGACAAAGAACGGTTAATGCAGAATGGTATGCTAGCATTTGTTTGCGACAGGTCGTTTCTGAACTCCGTTAAGCCCTAATGATTTCTATACTTTCCATAAAATAAAGAATAAATTGCGTGGACAGAGATTTTCATCACCTGAAGAAGGAAGAGGACGTCCACAGGACGCCTACAAAACGGCCATTTTGGAGACCCCAACTTCCGAATGGAATGGTTGCTTCAATGATTCGTTCCATCGTATGGAAAAATGTGTCAAATTTCGCGAAGAATACTTCGAAAAGCAATAAATACATTTTTAAATAGTAATGTTGTGTCAGTTCTTTGATTCCCGAAATTTTCAGTGCCGCCCTCGTAAATCTGGTAGTACATTAGACCCCGCCAATTTTAGACCTATTTCTGTACTACCAACACTTAGTAAGATTTTTGAAAAAAATATCCTTGATCAAATGTTAAATTTCTTTAATATAAATAATTTACTTCATAAAAATCAATTTGGTTTCACAAGGGGTCGCTCGAAAACTGATGCCGGTGATGAGCTGATTAAATATATCTTTAATGCATGGGAGAATTCACAGGATGCTTTGGGTATATTTTGTGACCTATCCAAGGCCTTCGATTGTGTTCACCATGAAACATTAATCAGGAAACTTCGACACTACGGTGTAAGAACGGATGCTTTTAAATTAATTATTTCATATTTAAGTAAGAGAACGCAAAAAGTTGTCATTAACAATATGAGCTCTTCCGGGTCGATGGTACAAATGGGCGTGCCTCAAGGCTCAATTTTCGGCCCCTTTCTGTTTGTTGTATACATTAATGACTTACCTTACATAGTAGAGGATAACCATGATATAGTATTATTTGCAGATGATACTTCTTTAATTTTCAAATTAAAGTCGACAATTATTAAAGTATGACGAAGTAAATAATGCTATATCTAAATTAGTAAATTTGTTCAATGTTAATAATTTGCATTTAAATGGCACTAAAAAAACGAAATGTATGAAATTCATGACTCCAAAAGTCAAACAATTAAATACTAATGTAATTTTAAATGGGGAGAAACTGAGTCTTGTAGATACCACCATTTTTCTTGGAATCACACTAGACGCGAAGATTCAATGGAGCCCCCATATATCAAAACTAGCAAGCAGACTTAGTTCTGCAGCATATGCTGTAAAAAAGATTAGAAGTCTAACCAGTGTTGAAACAGCTAGACTAGTTTACTTTAGCTATTTCCATAACAAAATGTTGTATGGTATTTTGCTATGGGGACACGCAGCTGACACTGAAATTA